CATTCCTCATTTTGACAGTTGGGGCGTACCGTATGTCTCTCCGAGTGAAAAATCAAACGTTGGAGAGTGCTGATTGCATACAAATGCGCGGCTTGAAGGAAATTAGCTCGGATAGCTAAGGGTAACGTGTACGACTGAAGAAGTAAGTAAAGATTGCACTAAAAAGTACAAATATTAATAATAAAAAAGAATAAAAGACTGAGTACAAAATTTGAGTGAGCATGTGAGCAAACACTGATGGAAAAAATAGCAGACGATAACGCGGCACGTTGTAAGAAAGTCATGGAGCATTCATTTAGCGTCAGTCGGTGTGAAAACAGCCAACTCCAGGAGTTTCGTTCGTGTCACCGACTGGTTTGGCAAGTAAGAACATGTATATAGCCTTGAATTATTTAGTCGCGCCCTTGTCACGCGAACACTTATAGCGAAAACAGCAAACTCCGAGATTTACTTTCGCGTCACCGAATGGCATGTTGCCATGTCATCCTCGTGTGACTACCAGCTGGTTGCCATCAGCAATACATGATGTACTGTAATCCGAGTCGCACGCTGCGGTGGCTTTGTTACAGTTCCGTAGTGTATTCTTTACCTCGAGGGATTCCCCACCAGGGCTGTCGATTGGTTTGGAGCCAGAACTTGAGAGGCTGAGGTGCCCCAAAAGTTGCCCTGAAATGTACGGGCTGAGAGCAAACCTGGCACTTGAAATCGGGGCTACCAAGTTTTTTGCACTTTTGCAAAGAAAAACCTACATCTATTCGGGTCCGTATCCTAGGCAAACTACTAAGAGCCAGCTTGGCAATAGTCTGAGGTACGAACCATGTCGATGGATTTGACGGGGATGGGAAAAGGAAGTAGTGGAGTAGCTGGGAGAGGCGGGGGGACTGGTGAGGGAATGGGAGGGAGGGAGGTATTAGTGTGGGACGATAAGGGCTAGCCGGGGGATCGGCACTTGAAATCCGAGTTAGGCCCACAGCCAGCACTTTGTGGGGACGTGCTGCCCTCAAACCCAACCCTTAAACTTCGGAAGCTGGGCCGAACCCAACCCTTAATGTTCATGGCATTAAGGGCATTTGCCCTTGAATCTTCAGCTCTGTTCCCCACCCCAGCGCCTCGAGTGTCGAGATCCGCTCCGCTTTTCGTGCCAGCCCTTGCTTTTCCGTCTCTGTCCCAACAACACCTCCCCCCCAAAACCCCCCACCCCCCTTGACCTGCCCCCATTAATTCCGCCCCTCCCTATCACTCCCATGTCCCGATTCTTCCCACGAAGCGCTGCCGCACTGTTGCTGCTTGCCTTACCGAGTCGCACTCTGTAGGTGTCGTCGTCGATTGGAAGACAGACCAGCCCTGCCCCACATTTCCGCTCCATTTCCCTATGTTTGTCTCCCTCCCTAGCCTTCCCCCTTCCCCCGCACAAATTTCATCCCCCATTCTCGTACGCTAGAAAGTACAGTACCCGTGAATGTCCCCCGCCGACCCGACCCGACCCTTCACCCTTCCTCGCACAAATTACAGCTTCGAGTCTCGCGCGCTAGAAAGTCAACGAGCCCCCCCCGGGCACCGACCAGACTCAAACGCGCACCAATCAGCACACGGTATATTTTCTTCCGCCAATCCGCAGCATGTCTTCATTCGCCGTGCTACGCACGCTCAGCCCCCCCTGCCCCTCCCCCAACGCTCCAGATCCATCCCGATTCCTTATCCATCCTCACCCTGGCATCTCACCACCGCACGATGCAGTTAAGGTGAAGAAGCGCTTCGGCGAACCCGCCGCCCTTCCCCCCGCATCTCTGTTCTCGCAGTTCGCCTGTCTCAGCCCCATCGCCTCCTCATGTCCTCGTCCCAAGTTGCATCATGCCACCATCCAATCCAACAACCAACCCCGATTTTGCCATTCCGTCGCTCGTGCAAGTTCAAAGCGTCTTCCTCTCTTGCGGACAAGAGCAAGTCATGTGGCGGTGGTTCCCTTCTCCCCTCCCCTCCCCACCTCAAGTTGAATACAGCAGAGCAAAGCGCAATTCCCCAAGTTCACATTTCCCCCGCTCCCCTCCCCTCAGTTGGTCAGCAGGCCGCCGACAACCATTCTCCAGCTGATCATCCCGAAGTGCTCTTTCCCACAATGCCCACGTAACTCGTCATTTGATTCATTCAAAGTTGACAGGCCATTCGCCTCGGTGGTTAGCTCACGCACCTAGAGGAAACCTGCAGTGCTGTTAGTCCTAGGGGAAAGCTGTAACTCGCAGCTGCTAACCCCCAAGGATGAACCGACGGCCAGCACGCAGTGCCCGTACCGACTGCCGATTCGCGTTGCCGTAGAAAGCGGAAACTACCTTGATGAACTGCAGCCTCGCTGGCCAGCCAATATCCTGAGGTGCCCGAGCGAAAGCCTCAGTTCCATTCACCAAGCCACGCATTTGCCAGCGGTCCGATTGGTCGTACTAAAAATGACCACCATGCCACTCCCCACAATGCTCGTTCGCTCTCGCTCCCATTCCCAAGCTTATCCGCCCATCTCGCTGTTCGCGACCCGCAACCTTCCAACCCTCCTCCTCTTCCTGATCGTTGCTGTCGCACGTTCCGGAACCACATTTGCGAACGCCGTCGACGATAGCTGGTACAACCGCAACGTTCGCCCGGACCCGAACCTCTCCGCTGTACCGAACGCCGTCACACCGACCGCGCAATCGTCCTTGGACGCGTGCAATGCCAGGACCGCACCCTTTCTCAACGACTCGACTTATCCGCGGCCGCCGTTCCCCACGCTTTGTCCGTCCGAGGGGCTCTTTGAAGTGTGCTACGTGAAAGGTGAGCTCGTTACGAAAACAGAGGTCGGATCAGCGAATGAAGTTTCGTGTTATGCTTACGTGAATGGGTGGTAGCAGTTGAGGTGCCGAAGATTCTGTCAGAGGTGTCGCGGACTGGTATGAGGTGTCAGCGATCAAAGATCAACCGTGGGGGGGGGGGGATATGAATGACGGTGGGCTTGGCTGGGGACGAGTTACGTCTCTTTCTGATCTATACTAGGACATGCGTCGTTGGTGAGACCAGATTGAAGAACCTGTTAGAGTACATTGTATCGCTTTCAGTCTGTAAAGAAAACTAAGCAACCAGAAGTTGAGCATTGATCATTATCCCACCCTCTCCATCCCCCCTTCCCTCCTTTCCCCGTCCCCTTTTGTGATCCGCCCCCCGCCCCCCGTGTTTTCCCGTTAATCCAATACCCAGGACCCATTGCCTTCAACATCACTCCAACGTTCATTGGCACCAGATGGAAAGGATGGGGGACCTCGCTTGCATGGTATGCTGCGATTCAGTCGTTGGTGAATAGAAATTCTGTTAATATATTGCCGTCGTGGAAGAAAAATAGGGCATGCCTTGACTGACCTCTCCATCATCAAGGGGAAAACGTGAGATCCTGGTTGCACGAGATGTTGGAAATGGAAAATGCGAAACCATCAGGTCATCTTCTTGTAATTTCTCCCGTTTCGAAAACTTATTCTCAAGGACCCATTTCCTGTTCTGGATGCAGGTTTGGGAACTACATTGGCGGATTGCCTGATAAGCGCCTCAACACGCTCATGGATCTGATCTTCAAAAAAGAGGGACTCAACTTCAACATCGTCCGTTACAACATCGGAGGGGGTTTCAACGCGCGTTTCAGTCCCCAGTTCCTCACAAGAACGATTTCGGACTGGAGGGGTATTCCAGGATTCAAGCCCACACAAGCTGCAGCCTACAATTGGCAAGCAGATAGACGTCAGAAGGCTGTTTTGTGGGGAGCACGGAGTCGCGGAGCGAATATCTTCGAAGCTTTCTCCAACAGCCCTCCCTGGTGGATGACTCACACGCGTGACGTGGCAGGAGCCACTGTAGCAACCAAGACCAATCTGCGGCCAGAGCACGAGTCGTCATTCGCGAACTACTTAGCGGACGTCGTGCAGCGATTTGCCAAGGATCCGAAGTGGAACCTTACGTTTGATACGGTGGATCCGTTTAACGAGCCGCTCGAAGGGTTTTGGAAGACAGGCGCTGCGCATGAAGGATGCAGCTTCCAACCTCCTGAAATGGGACGCGTGATTCAGAAAACCTCCATGGCTCTCAAATCGAGGGGGCTTAGAACGAAGCTGGCTGGAGTCGACAGTTGGTCTTATCACACGACCGAGAATCTTCCCAGGGTAGCTGGGAGAATGTTACTCGAGAGGATCAACATTCATTCTTATCTCGGGACACCCCCTGAAGGTGTATCTCACCCTCGCTGGACAAACCTAATGTACGCTCGGATGCGAAACGTAGCCAAGAGAATGAAGAAGGAGGTTTGGGTGTCAGAAGGCGGGCCAATCGGATTCGGGGGACATCCGTTTGACGTGACGCTCTACGTGGCTCGGCAAGTCATTGAAAGCATCAATATTCTTGAGGCCTCGGCGTATGTGTACTGGCAAGCCGTCGATCCACACCCTGCGTGGACGTTGATCAAGATCCCTTGGGAGTATCCGCTGGGAAAAGCAGCTGCCAAGTTGAAAGATCAGGGGATTGTGTTGGCGAAGCGTTACTGGGTGTTTAAGCAATTTTCGAAATATGCGCCGCAGGGGAGCAGGCCGCTGAGAGTCCCATACTCCTGCTGGCATTCCGTCGCTGCTTTCTACAACGAAAGGTACAATTTCGTGAGCGTGTTTTTGGTGAACCAGAAGGCGAATAAAGTGAAGCTGAATTTCGGTTTGGACGGGTTCAGCACGAATGTTGGGAATCCAACGACGGTGGTTGCGCACAGAACCACTTGGAAAGATTCCTACGCTGAAGCACTTATATCGAAAGGTAAGTCTTCTGTTACTGTGACTTTGGAGGGGCAGAGTTTCGTGTCCCTCGTTTTTACCAACATTGCGTTGAATAAGCCGTTGAAGAAGGGGAAGGGGGGAATAAGTAATTGGGTAGGATAATGGCAGTTTTTGCTTTGATACAGGCTAACATTAAGTCAGCCTTGGTTCCAGTTGTCTTGGACATGAAACTCACTTCTTCCCTTTCTTGGGAATCTTACTCAGCTTCACAATAGCAGGATCATGCACGTGTTTAGTAGCCATGCTCACCACCAGCTTGTACAGATCCGGCTCCGGGCGGTTGAAATTCAAATAGTAGAACCCATCATCGATTCGCCGGGGCCCCACATCTTTCCTTGGGCAGCTCTTAAAGCCACTGATGCTGGTGAAGAGAGATGAGCCTGTATTCACCCCCAGGTCGTCGTTTGCATAATCCATAAACTTTGCCCCAGGAATGTCGGTGAGGTTCACCTTCCTCTGATCATTTAGAGGACCCGCCTCCACAGTAGGTAAGTTCTCGCAGTACTTGTAACCAAGATCTCTCCCCTCAGTCTCCACCAAGACAAGGTTTTGGTAGTTTTCTGTGGGAAGGCCGCTGCACGCCCCTGTTTTCTCTGCAGGCAACGTTCCCTTGGCTTTGGTGTTGCATGGCTTGCCGTTGATGTTCTTCTGCCCGCAAACATCAGGCCAGAAAGGGTATTTCTGAAAGAGGGGCAGACAAAAAAAAGAGGGAAAAGGAGGACGACTGCAAATGATCACTTCACATCATATCACATAAGGGTGGCAGAGATATTGTGATGTGAGCATCCATTACTGTAAAAACAACACATGGCACTGCAAGTGCTGGCTCTATCTCTCATGGAATTTAACGGCCGCATATCGCTCGCTCCCCTCTACGACTAGAATGTCAGGTCCACTGCTTGCATATCACCCCCCAGCACGTGCCTCTTGGTGACATCAACGTCGACTCACAGTCTCAGGTGCTTCTCAGGTGTTTCCTCAGGTGTTTCCTCAGGTGCTTCTCACCTCTCTGAACACTGGTGTGTCATAGTACTGTTTGCGCATGAGCTCCCAGTACGTGCCGGGGTTCTTGTCGCAGTTGAGCACTGTTGGAGTGAAACACGTGCTCCACCCTGGTGAGCCTGGTACCTTCTTTATGATCACACTCTCAATAGAATTCCTGGATGAGAAAAAGGAACAGACACATCAGAACATGAAAGTGGGTTATTCCCAGGACAGGAGCCCAGACCTTATTTACAGTCACATCCCAAAAATACATCATAGCCCAGACATTCGAAATAGCGGGATGGATGGATGGATGGATGGGTGCACGTACCACTTTCCGTTGTTGACCTTGATCCCATCGTACGTGTTGATGCATGCACCCCCCTTGATAGTCACACCCGAGGTGACAAAGTCGAGGTAGTAGCAGTGGTCCCCGTTGAAGATGTAATAGCACTCCGCCGTGTTGTCTGTGGAGGGTGTAGATGGCCAGAGAGGGAGGATAACAGGGAGTTCAATAATGAAGCGCCTCAGATATCAAGGTAGTAGCAGTGGTCTCCATTGAAGATGTAATTGCACTCTGCTCTGTTGTCTGTGGAGGGGAATAGAAAGGCGGGCGGATAGCAGGGAGTTTGTTAATGGAGCATGCAGTCTTCATTGGATCGACTCAACCTCCGTACAAGGAATTAACCAGACCCCACCAGACTGAACCGGGCCGTACCAGGGCTGAACCAGTGCACGCAATAGTAGATGCCAGCTGCGTCCTGATCGCCGGATCTGTTCCGCCCAGCAGCGACGACGTGGTTGCGGTCGATCTGCGTGAGCATGCAATCCGCGGCGAAGTGCACGTCTGAGCCACAGCGAATTCCCGCGAAGAGAAAGTCGTGCACATAGTTGTTTCGCACGATCGCGCCGATGGTTCCGCGGTGGATCACGATTGGTGTGTGGACGCCTGCGAGAAGGGGAGGGGAGGATGTGGGGGGGCGGGGGAGGAAACGGGGCGAGAAGTTGTATGGGATGCCCGCGAAAAGGGGTAGAGGGTGGAGGGGAGACAGATTCGAGGATGCGTTACACAGTAACACGCACACTGCTAACTCCATGAAAACGTCTGCGGAAACGAAAACACGTTCTCGACCACTCACCGTAAACTTCGTTGTTCGTTATAGCGATGAAGGATTTGCCGAGCGTAGGCCCGTGTCCACTGTACGTAACTTGAATCACGCCAGGCGACTGGTTGAAGACGGGTATCCCGGTTACCCGCATGGAGTCTACTCGCGACGACGTGGTCCGGTGAAGATCAATTCTTCCAAATACACTCCCCTTCGCGACTTGAATTCCGTAAGATCTGATAATAGAAATTGTTGGGCACTGTGCTTTGGACGTTACTTCGGGTACTGTAGTGCAGTGTGGCGACGACGTGCGAACGCTGAGCTTGAAGTCGATCTTCAATACAAGCACGTTGCTCGTGTTCCATATCCGCAGTACTGGCTCATTCGCTCCGGTATGAGTGATCCCAAACGGAACCACTGCGGTTTTCGGAGATCGGAGAATGGTGCACGAGAACTGGCTGTCGAACAGGATGCCCTTGCTTATAATGAGGTTCTTTTGCAGCTCCAGAATGACCGTTGTAACGGGGCTAAACTGTAATCGCTTGCTGAAATCAGCTACCGTGGATATGTTGATCACGGTAGCTGCTGCGTAGTCGGAGCAGGGGCCATCCAAAAAGGCGTCAGCTGAAGGATAATGGGGTTTGAAACATAAACGGGGTTTCGTTGGTTGAATGCTATGTTGGAAATACGAATGACACTTCAAGCAAAAATGTGGAGATAAACCGAACTATGAAAGGTCAGTTAGGCTGTGGAGCCGTGAGTGGAGACACGGGGAAAGAAGACCGATGAGAGCGTTGAAGCATTGCGAATATCTCCCGTGACTACAGCGGAAAAGGTGACGAGCGCAAGGCGAAAGGTGAAAGGTGTTTTTATCACAGAAGACTCAAGGACTCACCCATTCGCCTGCGCCCCATCTGAATATCCTCGCGCGCCTCGTGTGCCAGCCGTTTTCTCGAAGCGCTCACTCCGGCAGCGACGGCGGGACGCTTCAAGACAGCTCCCTCCGCTTGCGACTCCCCTTGCGACTCCGCCTGCTTCTGCGGCTGCGACTCCCAGGTCGAGTCATTGCCCGCCGCGAACGAAGAAGCAGACGATAGCGATGGGATTGCCGCGTTGTTCGAGTTCAGGTCAGCAGCGTCCTGATGTGGACGCGTCAATGACGGCCATTGGTCCAGGAAGCGCCAGAACAGTCCGCGGTACTTTGCTACGTCTGCGGAAGAGGACGGCGGGGAGAACAGCCAGGGGTGGGGGGTAAACGGTGCGCAGATGGCGCGGAAACGGCGGGAAGAAGGTGCGGAGAAGGCGGATGGGAGGGGCGAAGCGGGGAAGAATGCAGGGAAAAAAAGGGGGGATGTGGGGAGGGGAAGAAGGAGGAGATGGAGAAGATGACGGGGAAGGCATAGGTGGGGGAGGGGGAGAAGCGACGAGAGCCGATGGGTGGAATGGGAGGAAGTAGCAGGTTCGAATAGGGCCTGGTCTATCAGTTGACAAATCGTGAAAGCCCACAGCGGAGGGTGCGAGTGGAAGGTGCGGGTGGGAGGGCGAGAGGGAAAGCGAGAATGCTTCATATGAGCGGGTGTATGAGGGAGCCTGCTTTCGCGTATGAAACCGCTAAAGAAGAGTAGTAGAACGACTTCGACGCACACTGCGGGAAGCACATACCTGAGGGAGCGAAGGCGAGGGCGGGAGAGAGCGCGAGAGCGACGGAGAGGCAGACGAGAAGCGAGAGAGGAACGTCACGCAGCTGCGTACGACGTGTCGTCATAGCGAGCGAAATAAATAAGGCGATTCCGCAGACCTGCCGCCTGCCGCGTGGAATTTATGCCGTGCTCTGAGCCGTTCCTCTAAGGTTGATATGGCCTGGTAAACGGTGAGTATGTTCCCAAAACCAGTGCGAACGATGGGCTACTGCGGCGGGGAACGCATTTCGTAAAAGTTCGGAGTAACACAGCCTACGCGGCGAGGCTTCACACTCGGTGTCTATATGTTTCGTCTGCGGAAGAGGGACTTTCTCGTTGCTTTTATGCCGTGGGGACGGAATGGCTAACTGCGACGACCAGGTAATCCGGAAGTTATGCGTTTCCTTGAAACATGAAGTTGATAAGTTAGAGGGGGTTGGGGAGGAAGCCAACCACTTCGGGCAGGATGAGTTTGATACGCTATGCTTGATTGGCTGTTGTGGTGATGCGGTGTTGTGGCGAGTGGGCAGGCAACACGCGCAACTGCGATTCTGGATGGATGGAGAATGCGGTCAGGTTTGATATGTTGTTTCAGTGAAGTCAAAGCCACCGAAAATTGCGCTTGTTGGATGGGGCTGGTCCTGAAACCCTGATCTCGAAAAAAACAGCTGAAGAGGAACATGGTTGTTGCTGGCTCCCCTCGGAGTCTCTTCAAGAAAAGCACTGTGCACCCACAAAGTCTTCCTCAAACACATTGCATGATGCCTGAGTCGCCGTGGGGAACATTGTTTCTTGCACTATGCTGGGATAAGTTACTGGGTATGGCGTAAGCGAACTAGTTTGCGACCCAAACCGTCATCGTCATCATTGTTGACGGAGGTTCTTGCGGGGAAGGGAGGAGCAGATCAGGTGGACCTTCAGGAGAATATGCGAACAGACGACCCGCAGGTGCGCGCCTATCGCGGTCTGCTGGAGGGGAACAAAATTCAGCTTCGGGTATGATTTGGTAAATGGTTTCCGCGTCAGAAGATGCGTCTATTCCCCTTTTGAAACCTACTGGTGTTCACTTGTAAAAGTGAATGCGTGTGCAAGGGAGAAGGTGCACCCAGCAAACTATAAATAGTGGAGAATTTACAGATACGTTGCACCATGGTACAACCGCCAGAAGTTCACTCTAAGGAGTTGTCGATGAGATGGTTAGATCCCATAGAGAGCAGCATATAGAAGCCAGCGGGTCTCGGGATGTTATAGTTCCAAAAGTACGAATTGAGCGATAGCCTGCGAGGACCAGAGTATCTTCTCAAGCAGCTCTTAAATCTTGGTCGGAACTTGTAGAGCAGCGAGCTAGTCTTCAATCCAAAGTCATGGCGGCGGAGATTCCGGAAACCGGCCTTCTTCGGGTAAGGAATGGGGATCTGCGTCAGGTTGCTCAAAATGTCAATATTATCGACTGCTATGCAGTTGTCGTAACCCATTGACTCGGTATTGTTGCTGATGGTAACCACGTCAATATTATTTTCCGTGGGCAGCCCGCTACAGTTGCCGGAGGTTGTAGCGTTAAGGCCAAAATCAGGGTTGCATATCATTCCCCCGTTCACTTCGGTCTGGGTGCAGATTTGCTGCAGATACGGGTAAGCCTGTAAGGAGGGAAGAGGGATTGGGTACCACGAGCGATAGGAGGGTGGAAAGGTGTGGCAGGAGAAAAGAATAAGCTTGAATGATAATTTGGGAAAATGCACATGCTCAAGTGATTCCGCGTGTAGTGAGGTGCATTTTGAGGCACGTGTAGGGGGTGCACCTAAATAATTCGGGAAAATGCACATGCTCAAGTGATTCCGCGTGTAGTGAGGTGCAATTTGAGGCGCGTGTAGGGGGATGCACCTCACTAATTCGGGAAAATGCACATGCTCAAGTGATTCCGCGTGCAGTGAGGTGCATTTTGAGGCGCGTGTAGGGGGATGCACCTCACTAATTCGGGAAAAAAGCACATGTTCAAGTGATTCCGCGTGTAGTGAGGTGCATTTTGAGGCGCGTGTAGGGGGATGCACCTCACTAATTCGGGAAAATGCACATGCTCAAGTGATTCCGCGTGTAGTGAGGTGCATTTTGAGGCGCGTGTAGGGGGATGCACCTCACTAATTCGGGAAAATGCACATGCTCAAGTGATTCCGCGTGTAGTGAGGTGCATTTTGAGGCGCGTGTAGGGGGATGCACCTCACTAATTCGGGAAAATGCACATGCTCAAGTGATTCCGCGTGTAGTGAGGTGCATTTTGAGGCGCGTGTAGGGGGATGCACCTCACTAATTCGGGAAAATGCACATGCTCAAGTGATTCCGCGTGTAGTGAGGTGCATTTTGAGGCGCGTGTAGGGGGATGCACCTCACTAATTTGGGAAAATGCACATGCTCAAGTGATTCCTGACTAGCTGCATCAGAGAATTTCATAAATTTGAATTGTTTAAAACACGGAGAATGTTACTCTCACGGCCTAACAACCTGTACCGGAGTAGAACTGCAGGTTGTTAGGCTGTGAGAGTAATGTACTCTCAATTTCATTACTGCACAGTAATGTACAACTGCAGATCCGAGAGAGAGTATAGAACGGACTGTAACAAGCTTACAGTGTTCATTGCCGGGGAGTCGTAGTATTTGAGCCGCATGGGTTTATTAATAGCATCCCAGCTTCTTGAGACAGTTAACGGTAGAGACAGTAGAAAACAATAATAATGAGCTTACAGTATTTATAGCAGCGGAGTTGTAGTATTTGAGCCGCATCGCCTCCCAATAGGACCCTGGCTTCTTGAGACAGTTAACGGTGGAGACTGTAGGGCAGGCGATTGACCCTGTGGTTCCAGGCACTTCATTCATTATCACATGCTTCACAACGTTCCTGAAGCGGCGAGAGTGGAGGGGGCACGAAAGGATTGCTTAACAATGCTTCACATCATCTGGAGCACTGTAGGGCAGGCGATTGACCCTGCGGTACCAGGCACTTCATTCATTATCACATGCTTCACAACGTTCCTGTAACGAGGGTTGTGGAAGGTGGAAGGGGCAAGAAAGGACGTGCATTGGACCACAATGCTTCAAAAATATGTGAAACACTGTGGGGCATGCAAGAGAAGAGACCCTGTTGCAATGGGCACTTTCCTCATTATCACATGCTTCACAACGTTCCTGTAACGAAGGGGAGAAGAAGGGCCAAGAAAAGTCGCCTGGCTCGTATAACAGTTGACCGCTAACACATTTACTTTTTCCACCCAAAAAGCTCTGTAAGGCCCAGGATTGACCCTGTTGCTCTGTAAGGCCCAGGATTGACCCTGTTGCTCTGTAAGGCCCAGGATTGACCCTGTTGCTCTGTAAGGCCCAGGATTGACCCTGTTGCTCTGTAAGGCCCAGGATTGACCCTGTTGCTCTGTAAGGCCCAGGATTGACCCTGTTGCTCTGTAAGGCCCAGGATTGACCCTGTTGCTCTGTAAGGCCCAGGATTGACCCTGTTGCTCTGTAAGGCCCAGGATTGACCCTGTTGCTCTGTAAGGCCCAGGATTGACCCTGTTGCTCTGTAAGGCCCAGGATTGACCCTGTTGCTCTGTAAGGCCCAGGATTGACCCTGTTGCTCTGTAAGGCCCAGGATTGACCCTGTTGCTCTGTAAGGCCCAGGATTGACCCTGTTGCTCTGTAAGGCCCAGGATTGACCCTGTTGCTCTGTAAGGCCCAGGATTGACCCTGTTGCTCTGTAAGGCCCAGGATTGACCGTTGCTCCTGGGACTTCCCTCAGTATCACATGCTTCAAAACGTTATTGCAGGGAGGCTGTATCACTGGGGGACGGACTGACATACACAATTTCATTGAGGAGCCTCAAAAGTTGAGGCGCCTCAACAGTTGTCTTCCCTCATTATCACATGCTTCAAAACGTTACCAGTGAGGCTGCATCAGAGGGGGTGGTCATTATGCATCATCTCGCATGGGGTTGCCTAAACAAACAGTTTTGTGGGCAACACCAGTTACATCTTCCCGTTGCTGACCCTCACGCCTTGTTTCGCATACATGCATGCATCTTCCATGCATACTTACATCCTCACGCCTTGTTTCGCATACATGCATGCACCCCCGTGCACCAAAACACCTGATGACTCTGAGGAGCCTCGGCGACACAATGCAGAACTAGGAGAAAAAAACACACTCACATCTTCCCGTTGTTGATCCTCACGCCTTGCTTCGCGTACATGCATGCACCCCCCCACACCAAAACACCCGATGACTGCGCGTCCAGGTCATAGCAGAGCGCGCCGTTGACGATGTAGTTGCATGACGCAATGTTGCCTGGAGGAACGTTGGGGGGAGAGGAGAGGGGAGAGGAAGGATGAGGACAACACCTTGAGTGCCTGCATTGGGTGTCCAGGTCATAACAGATGCCGCCGTTGACGACATAGTTGCATGATGCAGTGTTACCTGGTGGGGAGTGCAAGAAGAACGGGGAAACGTGAAGGGGAGGGAAGTTGAGAACAATCCTTGGACTCTTGGTGAGGCGTCCAGGCCATAACAGAGGCCGCCATTGACGACATAGTTGCATGATGCAATGTTACCTGGGGGCAAGGGCAAGAAGAACGGGAGAAAGAAGGGGGGGTTTAAAAGGGGGGGGGGGGAAGTAAAATCACGTGGCATCCTCGGTTGACCCAGTGCGTTGAAAACACGATCCCCATGACCTTCCCAGCGCCAGGCATGGCCCCCCAGGGAGCCTGCACCACGTTGTTAGACACGTTCACGAGCATGCAGTCGCCCACGAATCGCGGCCCGGCGCCACACATGATGCCCGCGCTTGTGAACCCGTGCACGTCGTTACTCGCCACCGCCACCCCCACCACTCCCACCACTGGCACTCCCCACCGCTCCTACCACTGCTCGTACCCCTGCTGCCCAGTGCACTCAGAGGAGAGAAAGTGGCCTTACCTGGGTTGATCCAGTGAGTGGAAAACACGATCCCAATGGCCTTCCCAGCACCAGGCATGGCGCCCCAGGGAGCCTGCACCACGTTGTTAGAGACATTCACGAGCATGCAGTCGCCCACGAATCGCGGCCCGGCGCCACACATGATGCCCGCGCTTGTGAACCCGTGCACGTAGTTACTCGCCACCGCCACCCCCACCGCGCCCCGGTGCAAAACGATGCCGATCCGCGCGTTGTACACCTCGTTATTCGTTATAAGCACGTTCGATTTGAGGAGGGAGGGGCCGATGCCGGAGAGCGCGACGCGGATGTGCGCGGGGGAGGCGACGGAGGGGAGGGATGGGGCTGTGATCTTGAGGGAATCGACCCTCACGTTCATGCTCCGAACAACGTCTACTCGGCCGTACACTGTACCCTGTTGGGTGCGGAAAGGTGGAGGGCAGAAGAGGGGAGAGAAACGGGTTACGCCACAGGTAACAGCAAGAGGAGGGGATGGAGAGGGGGAGGGCTGGCGCGGTGATCTCGATTGAGTCGACCCTCACGTTCATGCTCCGCACCACGTCTACTCCGCCATAGACCGTGCCCTGTGTGGGTGACGCAGGGCAGAAGGTGCGGGAGGGGAGATTGGGGGTAACACCAGAGGTCAGTGACAACAAAAAAAGGCGAATTTTACTTTTGAGAATTCTCAAAAGTAGAACTCACATAGTTGGGGGTAACACCAGAGGTCAGTGACAACAAGAGGAGGGGATGGAGAGGGGGAGGGCTGGCGCGGTGATCTTGAGAGAGTCAACCCTCACGTTCATGCTCCAAACCACGTCTCCTCTGCCATAGACCGTGCCCTGCAGGAGAGGAAGAGGGAGAGAGCAGGTCACAGGGGAGGCAACGGGAGGAAGAGAGGGAAGGAGCAGGGGTCGCAGGGGAGGCAACGGGAGGAGGAGAGGGAAGGAGCAGGGGTCGCAGGGGAGGCAACGGGAGGAGGAGAGGGAAGGAGCAGGGGTCACAGGGGAGGCAACGGGAGGAGGAGAGGGAAGGAGCAGGGGTCACAGGGGAGGCAACGGATGGAGGAGAGGGAAGGAGCAGGGGTCACAGGGGAGGCAACGGATGGAGGAGAGGGAAGGAGCAGGGGTGGCAGGGGAGGCAACGGATGGAGGAGAGGGAAGGAGCAGGGGTGGCAGGGGAGGCAACGGATGGAGGAGAGGGAAGGAGCAGGGGTGGCAGGGGAGGCAACGGATGGAGGAGAGGGAAGGAGCAGGGGTGGCAGGGGAGGCAACGGGAGGAGGAGAGGGAAGGAGCAGGGGTGGCAGGGGAGGCAACGGATGGAGGAGAGGGAAGGAGCAGGGGTGGCAGGGGAGGCAACGGATGGAGGAGAGGGAAGGAGCAGGGGTGGCAGGGGAGGCAACGGATGGAGGAGAGGGAAGGAGCAGGGGTCGCAGGGGAGGCAACGGATGGAGGAGAGGGAAGGAGCAGGGGTGGCAGGGGAGGCAACGGATGGAGGAGAGGGAAGGAGCAGGGGTGGCAGGGGAGGCAACGGATGGAGGAGAGGGAAGGAGCAGGGGTGGCAGGGGAGGCAACGGATGGAGGAGAGGGAAGGAGCAGGGGTGGCAGGGGAGGCAACGGATGGAGGAGAGGGAAGGAGCAGGGGTGGCAGGGGAGGCAACGGATGGAGGAGAGGGAAGGAGCAGGGGTGGCAGGGGAGGCAACGGATGGAGGAGAGGGAAGGAGCAGGGGTGGCAGGGGAGGCAACGGATGGAGGAGAGGGAAGGAGCAGGGGTGGCAGGGGAGGCAACGGATGGAGGAGAGGGAAGGAGCAGGGGTGGCAGGGGAGGCAACGGATGGAGGAGAGGGAAGGAGCAGGGGTGGCAGGGGAGGCAACGGATGGAGGAGAGGGAAGGAGCAGGGGTGGCAGGGGAGGCAACGGATGGAGGAGAGGGAAGGAGCAGGGGTGGCAGGGGAGGCAACGGATGGAGGAGAGGGAAGGAGCAGGGGTGGCAGGGGAGGCAACGGATGGAGGAGAGGGAAGGAGCAGGGGTGGCAGGGGAGGCAACGGATGGAGGAGAGGGAAGGAGCAGGGGTGGCAGGGGAGGCAACGGATGGAGGAGAGGGAAGGAGCAGGGGTGGCAGGGGAGGCAACGGATGGAGGAGAGGGAAGGAGCAGGGGTGGCAGGGGAGGCAACGGATGGAGGAGAGGGAAGGAGCAGGGGTGGCAGGGGAGGCAACGGATGGAGGAGAGGGAAGGAGCAGGGGTGGCAGGGGAGGCAACGGATGGAGGAGAGGGAAGGAGCAGGGGTGGCAGGGGAGGCAATGGATGGAGGCTGCCGTCAGAGCAGACGCAGACTGATGGCGGAAAGATGGTAGCAAGGGAGGTGAGGGAAGAGGAGGCGAGGTCGATTCTCACCGCTCCCACTTGCACGCCGTACGATCGGTGAATGGCGATCGCCGGACATACTGACGTCTTGTCCGCCCCTTGAAACCCCACACACGCCGCCGACCCCGGTGCCACCCCCACCTTCCAATTCACATTCACTGACACGATGTTACTCGCATTCTCCACCTTAAAAGCTGGCATGTCACTCCCGGGATACTCTATGGTATACCCAGGCCACATCCCGACCGTAGACATGAGCAGCGAGCACGAAAACCCCACGCCGAACACCAATCCCGAGGAGAGCACTAGGTTGTTTTGAAGGTACATGACGACGGTTACGTTGGGAGGGATTTGTAACCGGAGGTTGAAATCGGCGGGAGTGGTGATGTTTAGGACGTAGACTGCTCTAAGGCTCGTGCAGCCGCCTTTCGGCCGTTTGACAGCGGGCTGGCGAGAAGGGGAGGGATTCTGGGAGGAGGAGGGGGGTGGTGAGGTGTCGCCGGCACTGTTGCTGTTTTGGACTGAAGTGACGGGCCACGTGAGAATGCCGGCCATGGGGTTGGTTGTGGGCGGCAGGATGGTGAATGGGAACGGGACGGGGCCTTTGAGCTTGGCCGGCAAGCGTTGTTTCGTAGCGCCTCTGCTGCCTTGACCGCTGCTTTGTTTGCTGCTGCTGCTGCTGCGTTGTGGTTGCATGGGTGTGATAGGATGGCGCTTGAACCCTCCCCCTGCTGCTGCTGCTGCTCCCTCAACCCTCCCTGCTGCTGCCCCCTCTACCCTCCATCCCTCTGCTTCCTTCATCTTCTCTACCCTTTCCCTCTTCACACTCCCTCCCTTTGCTTCCTTCACACTCCCTTCCTCTGCTCCCCCTACACCTCCCTCCGCTGCCCCCTCCTTGTTCCACTGTTCCTTGTCCCCTTTCCCCCCTCTCTTCTCGTCCAATGGGCTGCTTCCACGTGGAATGAGCGCAAACGAGACGTCCTTAGCAGCAAGAGCCATATAATCACGACCCCGTTCAGTCACATCCCCGTTATTGTCACTCTCCTCTTTAACCACATCCTCCTTATAGTCACTTCCGCTCCTCTCCGTAGTGTCAGCTCCATCAACAGCAGCAGCATCAAGCACTCCACCATAACCATCCTCGTTATAAGCATCACCAGCACCAGCAGAGTCAACAGTGCCAGAAACATCCAAAGGCCAAGTGAAAGGCCCCAAGCCAGAGCTCCCCTTTGTTGACTCTGTTGACTCGGTTGACCGTGGTTGAGCGGTCAACCCCGGGTGCCCAATAGCCCCGGCCACATCTCTTGCAGCCATTGCTACTAGCTCTTCATCCGTTGACTCGGTTGACTTGATTGACTCAGTTGACTCGGTTGACTTGGTTGAGTCAGTTGACCGGGGTTGAGGGGTCAACCCCGGGTGCCCAATAGCCCCGGCCGCATCCCTTGCAGCCAGTGCTGTCAATTCTGCATCTGTAAACTTCGGGCCAAACATGGGTGTGAATAGTCCAGAACCCTTTTCACTCCCTTCACTCCTTTCACTCTTTTCACTCTTTTCGCTTTTCTCTAATCCGTACTCATTGCTCCACCCCATGCCGTCCGCATTAGCAGCAGCACTCCCCACATCAGATTCACCAGGAGCAGCATCAAGCGCAGAGTCACCAGAACCATCGTCATTTCTACCGTACCTGCTGACCTGGTTACCTCTGTCGTCCAGAGGCCACACCAGGTTCGGACCCGCACCTAGGCTAGGCTCGGTGCGAGCCTCGGCAACGTCTCGTGCTGCCATAGCTACCATTCTAGCACCTTCGCTTCTATCACCGCTGATGATATCACTCTCGTTACTATCACCGCTGCTGCTGCTGCTGCTGCTGCTGTCACTCCTATAGTCGAAACCTGAAGCTGCTTCAAACGCGGATGCTACTGTAGCCATGGGGTTATCCTCCTCCCTGTTTTCATCACTTAAGCCTTGACCGCTGACTCCATAATCATAATTATCATCATAATCAGCAGCAGCAGTATCATCAGCACCACCAGAAGCGGCTTCAAACGCAGATGCTACTGTAGCCATAGGGTCTTCCTCCCTGCCTTCATCCCTTAAGCCTTGACTGCTGACTCCATAATCCGCATCATAGTAAGAAACATCAGCACCAGCAGAAGCTGCTTCAAACGCGGATGCTACTGTAGCCATGGGATTATCCTTCCTGCCTTCATCCCTAAAAGCGTGGCTGCTTACACCGTTTTCCTCATCATCAGCATCCGAATCATCACCATCACCCCCATTGGTCGCAGAACCATCCTGCACCATGCCGCTGTGACCCCACTCCCTCGTGAACCAGTCCCTGTCTTCTCTACTGTCATCCCCACCGTTACTAGCACTATCATCCACAGCAGCAGCAACTGCAACACTGCCATCACCATCACTATCACTACCAGCACCATTATTATCAGCATCGGTCACTGCACCATCTAGCACCATACCGCTGTGCCCCCACTCTCGCATAAACCAATCCCTGTCTCCCCCTTCGTTTCTGCTGCTGCCACTACCACCACCCCTGCCACGACTAGTGGTGCTACCACCACCGTTACTAGCACTATCATCCACAGCAGCAGCAACAACAACACGCCCATCGGCACTATCACCACCATCACCATCCCTATCGATCTCAGCGGCATCTTGCACCATACCGCTGCGCCCCCAGTCTCTCATGAACCAGTCCCTGTCGTCCCCCCCCCTGCTGCTGCTACCACCACCACCCCTGCTACGACTGATGGTGCTATCACCACCGTTACTCGAACTAACATCCACAGCAGTAGCAACAGCAACCCGCCCTTCACCATCATCACCATCATCACCATCATCACCATCAGCACCATCAGCATCATCATCAGCCCCATCGTTCGCAGCACCATCTTGCACCATACCGCTGCGCCCCCACTCTCTCATAAACCAGTCCCTGTCTTGCCTATCCCCGTTGCCACCACTGTTACTAGCACCACCGCTAGTAACATCACCGCTAGCAGCACCACCGCCAGTAGCACCAGCACCTACAGCAGCAGCAGTGGCAACAGCATCGCCATCACCAGCACCACCGTTGCTTGAATCACCACCACCTTGCCACGAGTCACCACCTGAGGTCGAGTCACTGGGTTGGTCACTCGCGCCTGTACCGCCATGCCACCGCACCAACAGCCCGCCCGCAAGGTCCCCCTTGTACCGCCGCTGCTCCCCTCTCCGCCTCCCGCCTCCCTTTCCCCTTCCCCTTCCTTCTCCGCCGCCTTCCCCTCTCCCTCCCCCTCCTGCTCCCCCTCCGCCTCCCCGTTGCCCTTCCCCACGACTGCCCCCACTGCCCTCACTGTCCCCGAGTCGTTCACCCAACCCCTCCAAGGACTCTAAATTAAACTCTCCGGCTACTTCCGCTTTCTTTCCCTTGCCGGCCGCTATGCCGTCCCCTTTCCCCTCCCCCTCCCCTTCCTCTTCCCCCTCCCCTTGCGACATAGGCTCCGCATAATCATCCTGATTCCATGGCGGCGCGGTCTCGTAGTCTAAGCGCGACTCGAGGCTCCATAATTCTTCATACTGCGAACCGTATTTACTCTGTGCGCCTCTGTTTTCCGTGTCGGCTTCCCTACTACTTCTCGACTCTTTCAATTCCGACGCTTGCCACGTGTCAGATAACCAGCGTCCATGCGGCCGAGGGGCTGGGAAAAAGCTGTTGCGGTTGCCACGTGTCAAGTGTCCATCAATAGCAGCGCCGGACGGAGACGCGAGCCGACAATAGCACAGGCAGAAAAACGCGACAGCTAATAACGAGGATTCGCGCCGATGACGCAACGGGCGCATGATTCTTGGAATGCGCATCTGGAGAAGGATTGAACCGAAACGCGTACCGAGTCACCCTCTAAGACAACAAGGAAAATAATCAAAGAGATAATATGAATATTATACGTGAAGCCCCTTTTGATATATCGGCTTTAATGTTCATTGCCAAGTCAGTAACTAATTAACCAGTGAGAGTCATTCTCGATAAGGCGATTGTGAGGCTCTTAACATTGTCTCATGCGGGGACCAGAAGCATGGAATACCAGAAGCTGGTGCATCGATCTCCAGTGCCCGTTAAAAGAAAACCCCGAACTTGGCGATCGTGATGACTAGGCTGGTGAGCAAAAGGTAATCTGCCACCCTAACAGACTTTTCCAGGTCAGAGCAACGCTAACTGATTGAACTCGAGCGGGGCAGCAGACTAAGCACGAACGTACGAGCACGAGCTCTAAGAACAGACTACTTGCGAAAGACTGACACAAGCTCTTGGAAGGAACGCTGGATGATAGAAACACCCGCCTGCTCTATCGGCCTACACGCTGAGTTGGAGTTGGCAGGAACTACTAACTGGCAGCACGGAATAATTAATGGCGCGAAGGTAACAGAACTGAGCGAAAGCGAACAATTCAACTCTCGCACTCGTTAGCCATTGCCCCTCCGCAAGAACTGTCGCATACTAATCAAAGCAGAATGAAGCTCCAACCGTGGTTTGGCACGGTGCTAGTAGATATCGAAATCATGAAAATCTAATTAGAGTGGTTGAGCAAGGTTACGGGACTTCTATCGAACTAGCGGAAATTCTTCTTCCGTGTCGACGCCGAGCCGCGTTTTTTGTCCGCCTTGGCGGCTCACCGAACGCAGATTGCAGCTCCCTCGTTGGCTGGGGAGGGCGCTGAACTTACGTGGCGTGCAGGCAGTGGCGGTGCGGAAGCTCGCTACGGGTTTGGTTCGGTTCGGTGGGGTTTGGGCCGCGTGAGCGGCGCTTCACCCAAGACCACGTCCACGTCTATGTACTCAACAACTGCTTCCAAAAAACATCTTCTGGCAGCTTCGATTACAATATCCTCCTTTACACAATTATGATATGAAACTGGACTAGATTAGTGCTTTCACAAAGAAGGCAATTCACAACTGTGGCCACGTCTATGTCAAAGCTATTTTGGAAGCAGGAACCCATCTTGGAAGCATTGGAATACATGGCCCCATAAAGCATTCAATCTGTAGTAGGTGACCATTATGCAAATGGGTACGGTAGCACTAGTTTTACAATATGATGGTTCACCATACCACACCTATTTATTATATGCCACAGAGCACTGACCATGCACCTAACTCCCTACAAGAAAAGGCCTACCCAACCACGAATACTCCCCCTCACCAGCCGCCATCATCTGAGCTCTAACCGCCGGCGTAATTAAATCTTGGTCTATGATATGATCCGTGTCCATCCTAACAACCTTCCGGAACCCCCACGGCATCGGAATATTGTAACCCCTGTAAAACGACTTCTCCGAAAACTTTCTCGGCCCAGCGAGCCCCAGCGGGCAGCTCAAATAGTTCGGGCGGAACTTCAGAATCACCGACGTGTTTTTCAGCCCCAAATCATTCCGCCTGTAATTCCGGAATCCCGCAGCGTAAGGCCGATTCAGCGTAATGTTAATCTGCGTATTTAATTTCTCTGTAACAGTGTAGTTTTCGCAGTATTTCCAATCAAGACCGTAATCGGTGGTGTTGACTGCTACAACGTCGATGAGATTGTCGGTTCCCAAGCCGCTGCATGCTCCGGTGACGTCAGCACCAGGCTGACCTGGCGGGTTACATGGCACGCCACCATTGGCCGATGTCTCCTTGCACACGTTCTTCATCCAAGGCCATAGCTGGATGTGACAATAACGGGGGAAAGGAGAGAAAGGAGATTGGAGTGAGGAGCGAGGAGAGAGGAGGACGAGGGGGAAGAGTATTTCACTTGTGTCGCTGCCCAATATTCCCTTACTCTATGTGTGTATGCGCTGCGCTGCTCACTTCCTGCGCTGCTCACTTCCTGGGTGGTGCTCACTTCCTGCGCTGCTCTCACTTACACCGTTGTAGTACTTCACACGCATCACCTCCCAGTAGTCCCTTACTGTACTCCTGAGACGTCTCTCAAATGTTGTGAGCTACTGCCATGTACGTGCTTGCTCTATGCTCGCTACCTGCATTGCCCTCGCATACCCGGTTGATGCGGTCGCTGTTGTAGTACTTGACGCGCATCCTCTCCCAGTAGTCCCCGGGGTCCTTCAAGCAGTTGTTGACAGTCACTGTGAGGCACGACGTCCATCCCAGCGACCCTTGTGTGCCCTTCATCGCCACGTGCTTTATCACGTTCCTGCATGGGGGAAAGGAGTGCAGTGCGGTGGAGAGCGGTGGGAAAAGGGGAGGGGTCAAGGTTGTCTTTGAGGCAGTTGTTGACGGTCACTGTGAGGCACGACGTCCATCCCAGCGACCCTTGTGTGCCCTTCATTGCGACATGCTTTATCACGTTCCTGTCATGAACAAAGGGAATGTAAGGGGTGGCAAGAAGAGGGGGAGCAGGGGGCGATGGATGGGGCAGTTGCTGACAGTCACTGTGAGGCATGCCGTCCAACCCACCGACCGTCCAACCCACCGACCCCTGAGTGCCCTTCATTGCCGCGTGCTTCACGTTCCTACACAGGAGGAAGGAAGGACAACACGGTGCAGAGCGGTGGAGGGGGGTCAATTGAGCAGTTCTCGAGCATGACTGTGAGGCATGCCGTCCAACCCACCGACCGTCCAACCCACCGACCCCTGAGTGCCCTTCATCGCCGCGTGCTTCATCACGTTCCTGTGGTGAACGCAGGGGAAAAAGGGGTGGAGGCAGTACGGCAGAAAGGGGGGGCAACGAGAGTTGTCGGGCAGAAAACGCTTTTGAGAATTCTCAAAAGGAGGGACAGCGAGAGTTGTTGGGCAGACGGGCTGCCGAGGCAAGGTAGGGGACGAAGCGGGTGTCTTGAAGGAGCAATTGAACACATAACTGAACAGTGATCGGGTGTCGTGGGGCATGAATGTCCCGAGGTGCTGGGACCGCGATCTTTTGAGACGTCTCAAGAGGTGCTGGGACCACGATCCAGCTTTTGAAAGTCAACAATGGCAAGAGGTGAGGCACCCGCTCAGACGATTTTTGAGGCGCCTCAAAAAGCGATCCAGTTTTGCAAGTCAACAATGGGAAGAGGTGAGACAGCCGCTCAGAAGAACCCCCGACGTGCAATAATCCAGAGAATGAACCAGAGAATGAACCAGAGAATGAACCAGAGAATGAACCAGTGCGTGTAGTAGTAGATCCCTGCCGAGTCATAGTCCCCGTTCAGGTTCCTCCATGCCCCATGGCCCAATCGTCTCACCTCTTGCCGTTATTCACTTTCATGCCGTCATATGTATTCACACACGCGCCGCCCCGCACAAGCACGCCCGACGTGCAGTAATCCAGATAGTAGCAGTGGTCGCCGTTAAACACGTAGTTGCAGAGGGCGGAGTTCCCAGGGTTGAACCAGTGCGTGCAATAGTAGATCCCTGCCGAGTCATAGTCCCCGTTCAAATTCCTCCCAGAGGAGATCACGAGGTTGGAGTTGATGCGAGTCAGCATGCAGTCTCCGCTGTAATGCACGTCCGCGCCGCAGCGAATCCCCGCAAATATATAATCGTGGATGTAGTTGTTGGTAACGGTAACACCGACTGCTCCCCTGTGCAAGACGATTGGGGTGTTGACACCTGTATAGGCGAATGGGGAAAGTGGGGTTAAGAGCAGACGGGGTGAGGGGAGAGGAGAGGAAATCATGAGGTTGGAGTTGATCAGTGAGCATGCAGTCACCGCTGTAATGCACGCCAGCGCCGCATCGGATCCCCGTGAAAATGTAGTCGTGGATGTACTTGTTTTGTTGGTGACTGTGATGCCACTGCTCCCCTGTGCAAGACAATGGGGGTGTTGACGCCTGCAGGGGTGAATGGGGGAATAGGGGAGAAGAGTGAGAGGGGCGGAGAGAGGCAAAGATATAGTCGTGGATGTAGTTGTTGGTAACGGTAACACCGACTGCTCCCCTGTGCAACACGATGGGGGTGTTCACACCTGAAGGGACATGGAAGGTGGGGGCAGGAGGTCAGGGAGAAAAGAGTGGATTGAGCATAAGAGGAGGGAAAGGAAAAGGTTGGAGTTGATGTGGGTTAGCGCGAGCATGCAGTCGCCGCTGTAATGCACCGAATGCCGGAGAAGATATAGTCGTGGATGTAGTAGGTGTTGGTTACGGTGGTGCCAACTGCTCCCCTGTGCAAGACAATGGGGGTGTTCACGCCTGCAGACAAAGGAAAAAGAGTGGAAGAGGGCGAAACGAGAAGAGGGGGCAAACGAGGGAGAGAGGAGAGGATCACACCAGGCGACTTCGACTTGATTCTCTAGTGAACGTGCCACGTTCTACCCACAAAGGCCTGGATGTCACGTGTGAACGCGTTTCGGCCAGCAAAGGCCTGGATGTCACGTGTGAACGCGTTTCGGCCAGCAAAGGCCTGGATGTCACGTGTGAACGCGTTTCGGCCAGCAAAGGCCTTCATCAGCACAAGAGCCTCTAGTGAACGTGTCACGATCTACCCACCATAGTTCTGGTTATTACAGAACCACTCACCACCATACACCCCATTGTTAGGGATGGCAATGTTGGCTTGCAGCAGTGCTGGCCCGTACCCACACATGGTTGACTCTGGTTGACTTACGTTGACTCAGAAAACATCCCACTCACCATACACCTCGTTGTTGGAGATGACAATGTTGGCTTGCAGCAGCGAAGGCCCGTACCCACACAGGGCCACTCGGATCACCCCAGGCGACTTGTCAAAGGAAGCCACTCCGGTGACCTTGAGTGAGTCCAGGCGCACACCCATGCTCCTTAGAACGTCCACTCGTCCAAAGATGTTGCCCTGTGGGAGGGAAACAGAAAGAGGAAAGAGGCGAGGTAAGGGAGCGCACAACCAGGCTCTTGAGCGCACAACCAGGCTCTTGAGCGCACAACCAGGCTCTTGAGCGCACAACCAGGCTCTTGAGCGCACAACCAGGCTCTTGAGCGCACAACCAGGCTCTTGAGCGCACAACCAGGCTCTTGAGCGCACAACCAGGCTCTTGAGCGCACAACCAGGCTCTGAGCGCACAACCAGGCTCTTGAGCGCACAACCAGGCTCTTGAGCGCACAACCAGGCTCTTGAGCGCACAACCAGGCTCTTGAGCGCACAACCAGGCTCTTGAGCGCACAACCAGGCTCTTGAGCGCACAACCAGGCTCTTGAGCGCACAACCAGGCTCTTGAGCGCACAACCAGGCTCTTGAGCGCACAACCAGGCTCTTGAGCGCACAACCAGGCTCTTGAGCGCACAACCAGGCTCTTGAGCGCACAACCAGAATACAAGGATGCAAACAAGCAGGTGGAAAGACCTACCTTGCCAATCTGCACGCCCGTACGACCGGTGGATTGAAATCGCAGGGCACGTGACTCCCTTCCCCAGCTCCGGCACAGTGGTGCATTCGGGACTGCTTTCCTTCACGGGCAAATAATCATTCACGTTCAGCGGCATTCAGCTTACCGCACACAGGCCGCTAACAACTCACCTTGCCAATCTGCACGCCGTACAAGCAATGGATAGAGATCGCGGGGCACGTGACTCCCTTCCCCAGCTCCGGCACAGTGGTGCACTCGGGACTGCTTTCTGTCGCCGGCAGCTTATAATTCACGTTCAGCGAGAAGCAAGGGAGGGGGAAAAGCAGGTGGAAGGGAGGGACCCACCTTGCCAATCTGCACGCCATAGGCCCGATGGATAGAGATCGCGGGGCACGTGACTCCCTTCCCCAGCTCCGGCACAGTGGTGCACTCGGGGCTTCTTTCTGTCACCGGCAGCTTATAATTCACGTTCAGCGACAGGAAGTTGTTTGTGTTCCACACGCGCAGCACCGGGTACATAGGGTTACCACCCGTGAGCGTGTAACCGGGCCATTTCGCCGACATGAGGATCGTGCACGACTGCTGCCGACGGAAAAACAACCCTCTAGGCAGCGTCAGATCGTTCCGTAAATACAGAATAACAGTGGTGGTGGGCGGGAGGGAGGCACGGGCGGCGAAATCAGCAGCAGAGGTCACGTTGATTATGTAGACTTTCTTGAGCGAGGAGCAGGAGCCTTGTGGGCGGGACTTGGACGGCTGGTATCCTGCGGCTGTAGCGGCGCGTTGCAGGGAGACTGGCCCAATGATCACTGTTCGCCTTCTCCTGGGCTGCCGCCTAGTTGCTCCGGCTGTAGCAGCAGCAGCTGTAGCAGTAACCGTAGCAGCAGTTGTAGCAGCAGTTGTAGCGGCAGCAGCAGCAGCAAAAGAAGCCCTTTTGAGAGGGAAGTCGAGGAGGAAGGGTTCGCCTGACGCAGCAGCGGCAGCCACAGCGGTGAAGAGCGGTGGTGGCTGACTGTCCCGCTCTTGCTGCTGCTGGCGCACCGATTCAACCCGACGCAGCATGTCGCGCTCGTCGTGACTGTATCCGTCACCGGGACTGTACTGAGTGTGACCGTATTGAGAGGGAGCTTGGCTGAAAGATTGGCTGTGGGGGCTGGCGGTGTGATAATAATGGTGGTGATGACCCACGCCTGCTGGGTGATGCCCCACTGAAGCTGGGTGGTGTCCTATGACTGTAACGGGGGGGGGGGGGGAGGATGAAACGGGTAGGTTGGGGGGCGTTGGGGGGTTGTCATGGAAACATGTGGGAGCGAGGACCAGCTGATTCCAGCAGAGGTCGCACTTTTTCTTTCGGCGCGTCATAAATGCACTAATTAGTTTGGCTGGTTATAAGCTTCCTTTTGAGTCGAATCTCAGCATTCCTTGAAACGGGTGCCTGACCGCGCCTAATATGGCGTACCTCGCCATACCTTGCAACGCGAAACTGACAGTGCATTATAGCGCGTACCTCGCCATGCCAACGCGTACCTGACCATGCCGTCACAGCGGCGCAGGACGACAAGCCGATTACGACGGCGAAGATCCCGCAGATTGCCACGGAGTTAGATATCGCCATTCTCTTGCAGGCCGCAGCGCGACCGACTTTTCTTCTTCCAGGCATCCGCGACCGATTGATTCCCAAAACGAATAGAGAACGATCCCTTGGGAACAATCCACACGTCGATCCCACTAATCTACGTGTGGCGCTGCCACCATCGAGATTCCACGACAGACTCGGTGCTACAAAAATTGCTTTCAGATGTGTTGCAACGAAGAACGGCTGGATTTCATCAGCCGGCTGATGCAGAAACCCTAATTGGCTTGACGTGTCGGAAAGTTCGCGGGATGCAACTAACGCATGATGTTACGGACAGACTTACTACGCCAACTCAAGTAGAGAAAACGTTGCCTGGCTGACAAGTTCACATCGAAGTAATGTACGGCACGGGAACGGGTGAGGTCATAACAACGCCATGGTCGTTTGCAAAGAGCGCTGCAGTTGGTGACTGCCAGCGGAAATTGCTGCTCCGTGGTGATTGACTCGAAACGTGGCCGAGAAATGCTTACAGGTTTTGGTGTTTGGTGGGTGTGACGGCGGGCACTTTCGATTGGCGGTGTGGACGAAAGTTCGTAACTGTTTCTTCGCGAGAATGATCAGGGGAGGGCACATCTCCGACATGTATTGCGAACATTTTTTGCGAAGTAGGAAGGCATCAGCAAGGAAGTTGGCGGTGAAGGGGGAGGTGACGGGAAGGTTGAAACAAGGGAGCCGCGATCTGAATCACAAGTGATGGCGCGTCGCGGTTACCATGTGATTTACGCCGTCGGATCTGCGATGTGCGGCTTGGCTTGGTTCAGGGACGGGTGTACGTCAGCCGCGCGCAGTCGGTGAGCAGCGGCAGGAGTCGCACATGCGGAATTTTATCTGACCGAGTGCAGAAGCCGAACCCCGTTGACTCTACGAACTTCACCGACGTGGCAAACAGCTAATGCACTTTTCTGCGAAAACCGACGGAAATGAAAATGGCCTGGATTCTGGCTGGGGTGCACGAAGCGAGGATGTCTCTCGTCCAGAAACCATCTCCGAGAGTACTGCATAAGAGTCTTGCATCCAATATGTTTTTTTTATTAGCATAGATAGCTCAAATATATATTGGCCGTATGCTACCCATTGTCCAAACAGTCAAGTTTTTCTACCATTGCATGACCTTCCTATAAACCTACTTCAAACTATCAGGCCCCGTCACACCAATTGGCTCCTCAGCCAGGAATATTCAGAAGTGTCCATCATCTGTGCTCGCACTTGCTTGGGGATGAGGTCACGGTCAATAATGTGATTCGTATCCATGGCCACCACCTTCTGAAATCCTGCAGGCATCGGAACGTTGTAGTTCCAGTAATACGAGTTGGTCGAAAACCTCCGGGGCCCCGTCGCTCCCTTCGGGCAGCTCAGATAGTTCGGACGCCTGTTGAAAATCGGCGAACCCTTTTGAAGCCCAAGGTTGTTGCGCTTGTAGTTAATGAACTTCGCAGCAAATGGACGAACCGGGATATGATGCTCCTTATTGAGTCGCGGCACAGCGGGGTATTTCTCGCAGTACTTATAATCCGGAGCCCTCCCAGAAGTGTTCACTGTGATCAGATCAACAAGGTTGTCCGTGCCGTAACCGCTGCAGGCCCCTGTTTCACTAGCAGGAGGTTCACCCGGTGGGTTACACGGCACTCCGTTGAAAGCAGATTTCTCCTTGCAGACAGTTTGCATCCACGGCCACCTCTGGGAAGAGGAGAGCGGGGAAGAAAGTTTGGGGAGGAGAGGTTAGAGATGAAAAAGAGATGTTCTCGAGGTGACTTTTGAGTCGACTCAAAAGTCACCTCGAAAGTTTGGGGAGAGAAGCGGTGAGAGATGAAAAAGAGGCTGGGAAAGAGATGTTGCTCCGAGTAGTAGACTCGACGGCATTGGTCAAAGTAGCTGCTGCAAGGCGATCCTAGTAAACGCACAGTTTTCCCTTCACAGACAGCTTGCAACGGGAAACTCTGAGGAGGACGAGGTCGGATATTGGGAACAGATATGAGCAAGAAGCATTTAAATGTGAAGAATGTGTTTATGGATGCGACCCTTATGGTGCGTTGAAATGCACTGCGTTTATGTGGGTAGTGAAATTTGGCTCAAATACCCCCCCCACCCCCCCCAGTAGCTGCCACGGTGCTCCAGGCAGCGCTGTTGAGCATGAATATAAAGAACCCACCTTTCTGACCGTGAATGCAAGAAATGTGCTTGCTGATTGTGACTGTACAAAAGGTACTCACTTGAACTTGGTAAAAATCACCACTACCAGTAGTAAACTACCAGGGGACCTTGAGGCAGTTCATTACTGTGAACTGTATAGTGCTCAGTTGACATTGATCGCGGTGTGTTGTAGTATTTGGCGCGCATGGCCTCCCAGTAGCTACCAGGGTCCTCGAGGAAGTTGCGTGACTGTAAAGAATGTGCTTGCTGACCGTGACTGTAAGGTATGTGCTTGCTGACCGTGACTGTAAGGTATGTGCTTGCTGACCGTGACTGTAAGGTATGTGCTTGCTGACCGTGACTGTAAGGTATGTGCTTGCTGACCGTGACTGTAAGGTATGTGCTTGCTGACCGTGACTGTAAGGTATGTGCTTGCTGACCGTGACTGTAAGGTATGTGCTTGCTGACCGTGACTGTAAGGTATGTGCTTGCTGACCGTGACTGTAAGGTATGTGCTTGCTGACCGTGACTGTAAGGTATGTGCTTGCTGACCGTGACTGTAAGGTATGTGCTTGCTGACCGTGACTGTAAGGTATGTGCTTGCTGACCGTGACTGTAAGGTATGTGCTTGCTGACCGTGACTGTAAGGTATGTGCTTGCTGACCGTGACTGTAAGGTATGTGCTTGCTGACCGTGACTGTAAGGTATGTGCCGTGCTCGACCGGTGACTGTAAGGTATGTGCTTGCTGACGTGACTGTAAGGTAGGTGCTTGCTGACCGTAGACTGTAAGGTAGTGCTTGCTGACCGTGACTGTAAGGTATGGTGCTTGCTGACCGTGACTGTAAGGTATGTGCTTGCTGACCGTGACTGTAAGGTATGTGCTTGCTGACCGTGACTGTAAGGTATGTGCTTGCTGACCGGTGACTGTAAGGTATGTGCTTGCCGTTGACCGTGACTGTAAGGTATTGTGCTTGCTGACCGTGGACTGTAAGGTATGTGCTTGCTGACCGTGACTGTAAGGTATGTGCTTGCTGACCGTGACTGTAAGGTATGTGCTTGCTGACCGTGACTGTAAGGTATGTGCTTGCTGACCGTGACTGTAAGGTATGTGCTTGCTGGACCGTGACTGTAAGGTATGTGCTTGCTGACCGTGACTGTAAGGTATGTGCTTGCTGACCGTGACTGTAAGGTATGTGCTTGCTGACCGTGACTGTAAGGTATGTGCTTGCTGACCGTGACTGTAAGGTATGTGCTTGCTGACCGTGACTGTAAGGTATGTGCTTTGCTGACCGTGACTGTAAGGTATGTGCTTGCTGACCGTGACTGTAAGGTATGTGCTTGCTGACCGTGACTGTAAGGTATGTGCTTGCTAGACTGTAACCAAACATGCTGATTTCCTTGGCTGATCTTACCGCATTGATTGCAGGTGTGTTGTAGTATTTGGCGCGCATGGCCTCCCAGTAGCTGCCAGGATCCTTGAGGCAGTTGTTGAGCGTGACTGTCAAGCATGTGGTCCAACCAGGTGATCCCTGTGTGCCCTTCATTGCCACGTGCTTAATCACGTTCCTGTAACGAGTGGGGAAATACAGGGGATGAAAAGGAGGATAACGAGCAGTTTGAGCATGGTCGCAAATATTTACGGCAAGTACTGCGTGCATAAG